ATTATGATCGTGCTAACGTACACATATTTATTTGACTTTTTTGCAACTCATCTACATTTTCTATAATCTAGGAATAAAAGTTAAAATGTACCTACAATCAAAATCTATAGTCAGTATTCATTTGAGGTACATCTTTATGTCTACGTTCTCTAATACTTCCTTTTTTGTTTGATGTTCAATGCCTTGTAATCGTACTAATGTACAAATACTCAAACAAACGTACAATGTTGTATAGTTCTCAAATCAGATTGAAGCAGAATCTAAAATACGTTAATTATAATAATACATATTTACTAAAGAAGCAAAAAATAAATAAAAGAAAGGAAGTAAAAGTATGCGTACGAAGACAATCTGTCTGTAACCCATATGGTGTGGACACAGCATAAGATTATTATACAGTCAGCAATTACTTAAAGTTCATCCTTAAGTATAAGTTTTATAACACGTACATGCTTATTTCATGTCTTATGATCGGAATAGCGTACACAAATGGTTACATACTTACAATGATGTTATTCTGAAAACAGCAAAGATCATATTTTTCAAGTATAAAAAATTGTTAAATAAAATAAATGGTTGAAAAAAAGTGTACGTTCGTATAAACTTTGTGTACGTTTTTGCGAACAAAGATAGAAGGATATACAGAATTGGAAATTATATGCATTTAAAGTCTGTTAGCTAGAGTAATGCAATTTATTATGTATGTATAATGTACTTTAAATAAACACTTACTATATGAAATATTTTAGTATTTCTGTGTATTTAAATTTATTTTAATAACCTTACATGTATTATTATTATTTGAAATAATATTTCTTGATGATTTAAAATGTAATTCGTTATGATTATTAATTAATTAATGAATTATTTAGAATAATATTTTAATTGAATATTAATTTAAAGCTATTATAATGATCAGAAATAATTATCTTATAAAAATAAAAGAAAGTTTAAGATTTTATTAGAGAGTTCAAGTAATTTAATTTGACTGATGATGATTACCAATTAAAGAAATTATAATAATTATTAGATTTTTGATATAATATTATTATAAAATTTACAAGTATTTTCTTTTAGTAAATTAACATTGATTCCTTCATTGTTCTATTTTTTTTTTCTAAATAATTATAACAAATAAAATAGGCTAATTTATTTGAATACAATTGAATAAATAAAAAAGATGATTATGTATGCCATCAAAATTTGTTCATTTTCTCTACAACTTTCTTAAATTTTTATGTATATGATGTGTATATAATCAAGAGTATTATATATCAAACTCGTTACAGAAACTTGTTGAATGATCTCGTAATCTTCCAATGATTGACATACTACCATTAGCGTTATTAGTTACAACAAGAAAATTGTGAGCATGTTCACATTGCAACATGCTTAACATTAATTTTCAAATTGAATTATTGCCTTCCAATTGTACCATTCCCATTCCGCACTTTTTTTTCCTTCTTTCACATGGCAAATTATAAATTATGTTATATTTTCGTTATGTTCCCATCGAAGGTCGTAATTAGAAACGGCACCATCCGCTCTAAATAAGTGCCGTTTCTTACGATTACAGTTGTTTGCATTATGCAACCGCAGTAAATACAAATTAGATCCAACCGAAAGGAATTGTGATTTTGCAATTCGGAACTCGTTAAGCTTATGCTCGAAAATTGGATCTATATCGAAATACCGACAATCGAATTTCCGACTTTCGAAATCCCGACAGTATCAAAATCCTGACAACCATAATCTCGACAGTATCTTCTATTATTTGATATAGACTTATTCATAATAAACAATAAAAATAAGAAATATTGTCGGGATTAGGGTTGTCAGTATTTCGATCCGCACCGTCGAGAATTGTGTTCTGCTCCTTATTCCATTTAATTTTTGTTTTACTTTCGTTGTTGTCGATTGTATTCGGTAAACACTCTTTCGCATTTCCGGTTCCACTCTCTTACACGTATCCGATATATTTTCTCCGTTGCGTAACCATTCTCCACGGCGATGATGATAGTAATATCTGTATGGCTTTCAAGAGCTGCGGATCACGATTTGCCGGAGGCAGCTTTTTATGCGTGAACATTTCGTGCACAGCAGAATGTTGATTAATTAGTTCCACATACACACACACACATTCACTCACAATATATATAAACACACACAGAGACATAAATCAAACTGCATTGCAGCTTATTAACGCAATAACATGAATTGTAGGGATGGGAATATAAAATGTTCAATTAGCTCTTCAGCAGCGATAATAAATGATCTTTCATCTATCGAGGACAAAATCGGAATACTTTTCATATACCGGAATCAATTATCGCGAGGAATCGAGATGTTTTCACTATTGCCTGCGACGCATGCAAACATTATTTCCACCTCGTTTTACGTGACTTAAATTGGAACACTCATCTCTCGTAATTGGCGCCAGTTCCTTCGAATCCTTTTGAATATTCCGTTTCATTAACACTCTCTCATTGTTTTTCTGTCTTCTATTTATTTATTTTTCAATTATATCATTCAGTCTGCAATTTTCCGTACATTTCCGTTTCATTTTATATATTTGTTTTCTCTTTACTCAGATGCTTCTTGATATACGTATTTTAATTACAATTCCTAATTATCCTTAATTAACTGACGGCGTTGCCTAATTGTTCAAACGTATCCGCTTTTAATTGACGTCAAGGCTTGAATGTCGCGTATATTGTGATCGGGACAGAAAGTAAATGTGTTTTCACATCTCGATCATGGCTTTAATGAGACGCACTTATGTAACGTGAAATGTTACCATTGCATATTCACTGTAAGCATGCTAATTGTGTGTGTGTGTTTGTGTCTTTTTTTATTACTTCATTCTAAACATGTGTGATTTATATTATTGATTACAAATTACATTATATATGCTTTTATAAACCGTCTTCACAATTTCCTAAGATTGTTGGTTACCATCTGTTTCTTGAATAAAGAAAAGTTTTTTTTTATGAACAATGACTACAATTTATTGCATATATAAAATTGGAAATACCAAAGTCTTCATTTATTACATTAATAATAATAATAATTTACAAAATTCGTTTTATTTATTTAAATTGTGTGAATTAATTCATAATGTTGCTTCTATCAGTCCGGATTTACCATAATCCGATTTGGAAATTATAAACCAAATTATTTATTTCTTCGTATTTAATTCCTCCATTAGTCTGGTTCCAATCTGTATTTACAAAGTTTTTATCATCAACAATTTCGGCAATGAATGAAAATTATATAAAGAATATATACGAATTGAACGTATGTTTGCTCTAGTTCATGATTATCCGAATCTATCATATTAATCGAATCTAATTCTTTCGTTTTAATTTGTAATTATTTTCAAACATTGAACAAACTATTTGAATGAAATATTAACTATTCATTAATAACTATTACATAAACTTTATTAATATAAATAATAATTAAAATTTTACCCAAATTTGGATTATTAAAAAATGTAAATAAATAATCAAAATAAATTAAAAAAATAACATATATCTTCAATAAATAAATGAGTAAATCTATTATGAATTGATTTATGTGTTTTTTACTTTTAATTTTTGTTCTATAAAATTTATATTAATATAGTTTTGCATTCTAGTAAAAGTTAGAAGACTAAAATGTAGAAAATGATGAAGTTTTAAATATATATTTCATAAATTTATTTAATCATATTTATTGGCTACAATTATACGAAACGACTATCTACCAACATAATTCCGCCTACAAATAATAAATTTCCCTGAAATCCAACGCTGTTAAATACTTTCAATAAATTTCAATCAATATTTACTAATTATTAATTAATTCTAAAACAACGTGTTTTCTAAAAATAGTTTCCAATAAAATTGAAAAGATAATTGAATAAGTATCATTTTATAAATTATTTATAACTGTTTGAATAGATATTTTTATTATTAATAATAATGTAATTGAAAATCATTAAATTAGTATATTTCAAAATAGTTACGGTGCATTATACGTGTTATAAAATAATAGAGAGTCTAACAACCTTCATATTAAATAACCTTGCTATGTTACGAACAATTGTATTTGGCAATAATAAACATAATGAGTAATAAATAAAGCGTAATAAGTTTACTTTTTGTAATTTTATACAACTCAAAGTAATAAAATTAATTAAAATATTTCATGACACTGGATTCTATGAAATGAAAAATATGAAAATACATTTATTTTGATCAATTTAATATTTACAGAACTTAGATAGTTAAGTAATTTCATTTACTTATGAAATTTAATAATAATTAAAATTAAAATTAGAATATTAATTATTTTTTGTTTTAATTACATTTTCATGAAATTAGAACATAATTAAAGTAATTAAAGACATAATTAAACAAAAGATATTTAATGACAATTTTGCATTTGTAATAGTCGATTTTATTATACTTTAGATTGATTTTATGTAATTGATACTATACGAAATTGTTAAAAAAAAATATTTTTTTTAATATCTCGATGACTGTTTTATAATATTTTGAGTGATTTCGTATGGATATGTATTGTTATTGTTGAAGTAGATATATGGAATTGGAACTATTATAATATATAATAGATGAAAATGTATATTTTTGTTTGAAATCTAATTAATCTGGCAAATATTCATGCATCGAAATGAATAAATTAATTATTAAAATATTTATGAAAACGTATGCATGCAGTAGTTTGCGATTGGTAATGAATTCTAATTGCATGTTGTGATTAATCGCGACATGAATATTCATAAGTTATCCGGTAATAACAATTTCGGTTTTGCCAAAAAAAAAAAAGTATACGTCGTCCGTTTGGTAAATATACTGTATCAAATTAACGAAGAGGAAGCATAAAAAAGAGTGTGTGTATAAGTGGGATTGAGAGCGGGCAAAAGAAAGTGCGTTGGATGGTATAAAAGAGTGGATCGGAATTTTTTAGAACCAGAACGTTCTATACCTTCAACCATGAGGGTGTTTGTAAGTAATCAATATTTCTTGTAGTGAAATAATAATACTATAATTTGTTTGTTGTTTTTTCTTCATTTCTTTAAGATTGTAATAAGCGCCGTTTGCTTGTACTCGGCCCTAGCCGCGGAATCCGCTACCAAGGAAATCTCGCAGGAGGGCAAGAAGCAAGAGAAACGTGGTATCATCGATTTGGGAGACCACGCTCATGCTTTTGGAGGATTTGAAGCTGGATACGGAGGAGGATGGACCGGACACTTCGGTCAAGTCCATGATGATCACCACCATCATCATCATGATCACCACCACGAGCACGTCAACACTCAAGTAGTTACCAAGAAGATCCCAGTACCATACACCGTTGAGAAGCACGTACCTTACACCGTCGAACGTCATGTACCTTATCAAGTGAAAGTACCGGTACCACAACCCTACACCGTAGAGAAGAAAGTACCGTACCCAGTCAAGGAGTACATCAAGGTACCATACTTTGTGCCACAGCCGTACGAAGTGATCAAGAAAGTACCATATGAAGTGCACGTGCCAGTCCCAAGGCCGTACGAAGTAAAAGTGAACGTACCAAAACCATACACCGTCGAGAAGAGGGTACCATACGAAGTTAAAGTGTCAGTCCCACAACCCTACACCGTCGAAAGGAAAGTGCCGTACCCAGTTAAAGTTGAAATTCCAGTTCCACAACCCTACACCGTCGAAAAGAAGGTACCATATGAAGTCAAAGTACCAGTAGACAGGCCTTACACCGTCCATGTACCAAAACCATACCCAGTCACCGTCGAGAAGCACGTACCTTACACCGTCGAGAAGCACATCCCATACGAAGTCAAGGTCCCAGTAGACAAACCATACCCAGTTGAAGTGCCACGACCAGTACCATACCACGTGAAAGTGCCAGTACCACAACCCTACACCGTCTTGAAGAAGGTCCCATTGGAGGTCGAAAGGCCAGTGCCTTTCCACGTTAAAGTACCAGTAGACAAACCATACCCAGTCTACAAAGAAGTACCAGTTCCTATCCAGAAAGAGGTACCATACCCAGTCAAGGTACCAGTCCACGTACCAGTTCACTACCATCAACATCACGAAGAAGAGCATGTTGAACACGTTGATCACTACCCCAGCCACGGATGGCATTGAACTGCCTCACCATAATATTTAATTATTTGTTTTGTTTTTTATCGCACTTTTCTTTTTGTTTATCAAGTGCTATGTTTTTTTTGTTATTGAATGCTGTACAATCAGTTCAATGATTTTTAAATCCAAATAAACGTCTATTTTGCATATTAAAAAAATGTTGTTTTCTTAAAATCTGATTAACAAATCTTAAAATCAGATTTATATCGACTTTCACAAACTTTTTAATATCAAATCAAATAATTTTGAACGAAATTCAGTTTTTTTTATATTAAGATAAACATTTAAACCGGATTCATTGATGAATATACCATTAAAAAAATCATAAAAGCTGAATCAATCAAATATATAGTCTACTATATTCATTGATAAATATTTTAGAGATTAAGATTAACAGTATTAGATAACCAAATCTATTAAAAACAAACTGATACAAATGCATTCACAATCATATTTTATATGAAATTATATAGGAAATGAACTAAATAATAGATTGTAAAATGTTTACATCATTATCATCATATAATGATTGATTATGCAGAAATTTTTATATGTAACTCTTTGTACTATTTGAAAGTTTATTAGATGATGTAACATCAACCATACAAATTGTTATTCGAAGCAGCAACATCTGAATATTCATAAGTTATTGTCAAAATAATGGAAGCTATTGTTAATAGACGTGATATTGATGGATATCTCTACGAAATACTGTTTCATTATTTTATAGACTTAAAATTTCGTGAATCTTTAGAAAGTACAAATACTTGTGCAATAATCTTTTTGTTGAATAGAAAACATTCAATTAAATTAAGATTTATAGCTAATTTAATTAAAAAAAAAAAACTGGTTATAAATTTGTTATAATTTCATAATAAAAGTAGTTGCAATAAAAAAATAGTTGATTCGATTCTCCTTTTATTTAGTACACTTTCTATTTGGAGAAACTAGTACATACATTATTTTTGAAGATAGTTCGTGTGTAATAAAAATATATCAATTTATTATGAAGATTTACAATTTTTTGTATATACGTTCTTTATTTTCAAACGAACTTACATTTATTTATTACTCAGTTAATAAATAAGTTCATTTAAACCAAGATATTATCTGAATAATATGTCAACGTACGTTAATGAGGTCAATGAAGATTTATTATAGAAGAACACATTCGCGCAAACGTACTTTATTTTCAAGCGAACTTAAGTTTCTTCTTGATGATTCAAATTTTCCAATTTTTTGTACACGTTCGCACGAACGTACTTTATTTCAAGCGAGCATACGTTTTTTTTACTCCTTTGAAGTGGTAATTGTTTAATATTGGATATAAATAAACATAAATTCAAATTAAATATAAAATATAAAATGTAAAAAAAAACAATTACAAATAAATAAATACATTTGGCCAAAGAGATTTTTATTCCATGTGTAAATAAATATGACGAATGTTTATTTATACATTTCCTGAAAGTAAATACAAAACCAGATTTTATACGAAACGTTACTAAAAGCGTTTCATATTAAATTAATTAATTAATTTCTGTTTCATACTTCATATTTCTAAATGAAATAACAGAGAAAAAAAAAAGCGAAAATAATTAAAGACCACTGCAACTAAGCCGTTGCAAATGCAGTTTTTTTTAATTATGTACATTTAACAATCCTTTGGGGTGTGCTTTGAATTCACAATTTATATCCTATTAAAAAAACGGATACTCTCAAACGAATTTAAATTGGAAAACCGGAGGTGCACAAACCTAAAAAATAAATCAACAATTTGCACGTGAAATATTTCTTCTATAAATTGAATCGAGTCCTAAAGTGCACAATTAATTTCTAATTAATGGAACGTTCTTGCAATTCGTGGCCTTTCTTTATTTATTTTTTTTGTTGTTGTTGTTGTTGAATGAACGGTGACCAACATATGGCTTAGCATTCCGCACTGATCGGCCGGAACTAATTAAGTGAAAATGCGTTGCTTAATTTCAATTTCACTTTCGGTAATGCTGTTGTATCTTTCGGCGACTTACGTGCACGATAAAATGATCATTCATAAAAAAAACGGACGGAGCCGGTACGTATGAGTATGTGTTACCGAAATCGGTTTCTCTTTTGAGTGTTGTTATACATTTAAGTGAAAACCTGTTTCAACATACAATCAATTCCATAACACCAAAATTGTATGACACCTTCGAACATGTATCATTTACATGGCCCATATGTAAATTCCATTATTCCCGCGTTTTTTTTTTTAATATTGTTCTTTCTCTTCTTACGTATACGAAAATTCACATATTTTACTCGGTTTTATGGAAACATATAATTTAAGAAATTTCTTTTTTTTCACAATATCGATATGTGCAAAGCTTTCTAAGAAGCGGATGAACCGGAGCAACTTATTAATAAATATATACAAAAAATGTAGTTTAACCTAGTAATCTTAACCTAGAATTTCCTATTAACCAAGGTGACCTTAATTTTATAATTAGAGTAAGTTTTTGATTAATGCGCTAGTAATTTGAAATATTTTTCGACTATAATGCTTTAATGCAGGGGTCCCCAGCCCTAACGCCAACCCTTTTACATGTGCCCTCCGCTATGTGGAATTATTTGTTTTTGTATGTATTATATGTATTATTGATTATGTCCAATTATAAATTTACCTTGAAAAAGTTTTTCTAAATAAATGTTGCCCGCCGCCCAACTAGCATTCTACAATGTGCTCTTGATGCAAAAAGGTTGGGGACTCCTGCTTTAATCAATGAGACTTACCTTAATAAAGGGTGTCTCAAAATTAACGCAAGATTTGAATGTGCCGCCATTTGTGCAGTAAAATGTTGGCAACCCGAAAAAAAACAATTTGACACTTTACTGCACAAATGGCGGCAAATTCAAATCTTGCGTTAATTTTGGGTCACCCTTTATAAACAATGCTCGTTTAACGTACATAACTCGTACACAAATTTCAGTAAATTTAAATTTTCTTTAATTTAAATACAACTTTTTTGTATATATGTTTTTCATTGTTCGTACACGTAGTTTCGTACACAAGTTTCATACTAACGTACACTTTACCGTGGACCGCAACATCATACATATTTAACATTTATTTTTCCTAAAACCATTTTTTTATTGTTCCGATTAAAGTTGTACGTTTGTACTGATATGTGTACGGTAATTCAATTTGTATTTAAGAATTTATTAAAAAAAAAATATATTTGTCATCTATAATTGAATTAAATTTACTTTAATAATATAAATATGTTCGGTTAACGTACATAATGTATACACAAATTGTAATATGTTAAGCTAAATTTACGTCATTAGAACCACATAGAAATACTTGTTTTCATCCAAATACATTTTATTTGGTATATATTTTTTACTTAGTTCATATGAGCGTACACTTCATTGTTGAACCGTAATATGATATGATATAGATATATTTAAATTTATTATATCTATAGCGAGTTTTACAGCCATTTTTACTGTTTCAAATTGCACGTATGTGTGGATATTTGTACTTTAATTCAATAAAAGTGCTGCAACTAATCTTCTACATATTATCAATCATTGCATATTTATGCGGAAGTACGTAATATTTCTAGCCCACTGTATGTATATATTCATGTATATAATATATTATGATACTATCTGATAATAAATACATTATAAAGTAATATTAATGTAAAAGTGTGTACAAACATTTGTGATATCATTAATACTATTTACCTACATTTGCCTAGAATAATCATATGCATTATTCCGTAATAGTTGGTGATGACCTACAATTTAAATAAATTATATATGGAAAATGGTAGTAATAATATCCTTTTTCCGATGTATTTATAGGTCGACAATCATTCACAATCATTCCCTTTGTGCCTTGTCCAATTCCTATGTTAATTTTGTAGACATACTTGATGGAGACAGACAGACAGACTTTCATCCACAAACGCTCATTTGCGAAACAAATTCGTATCATTTGGTTTGTCGGGGTTGTTTTCTTATTTATCCGCGATTTATGCCACGCGACTTCTTGCAGCGACGGTATAACAAATTGGTGTATTCATAATGGAACAAAACGTGAATAATGCCGACGTCCCGTAATGAATGCTGATGAGCGGAAAATAAACACTTGCTTTTTATCTTCCGTCGTCTGCTTAATTATTCGTTGCCCGAAATGATTTATTTTCCATCCATCCTGATTAAGACAATGCATTTTTAAGTTTCAATTTAAATTTCAAATTAATTGCATATTATTGTATAAACACAAACATTGTTTGACTCTATTAATATAGTCATTTTTTCTGTTATATAATTTTCATTATAATAAAATAAAAATATTGTTGTCATTCCATTAATAACCCATCCAAGTACTAACTGCAGTTTGAGTTGATTAACTTTAGTAAGTCGTTTCATAACAAAATAACATTTTGAACAATAAATTTAGTAGATTTTCTTAGACTTTATACAATAATAAAAATTATATAAGAATATTATAAAGTCAGCATGACATAAATTTTATAATTTTGCGTTTATATACACATAGTGCGGGTATATAAATTCACCGCACTGTTTGAAATCGGCGTAAAAACATACTTCACTATATGCATGGAAAAAATCCAAACGATTTAATTACAAAAAATAATATTGTGTATTTTGTAGTATTGCTGTATATATGTTTCTATTTTAACCTATAAGATATCAAAAATGAACTAAAATTGACATATAATTATTTATTTATTTAGCAGATTATCATACACTTGATAGTAATGAATAACTATAAAAAAAAAAAACATATTTGAAAACAAATATTTATCATAACAGAAAAATAATTCTTGATATAATTCAAACTTATCTACTTGAGAAGTCTGTTTATTATAAGTAATTATGTACTTTTTTTCTAGCTTACTATGAGACTATGAATAAATGATTCGAGCAAGTTCTGGAAAACAACAGCATATTCACATACAAATTGATCTATTATTTTTATGTTATTT